GACATGCCCTTTTATACTCTTAACCTGGTACTGTAAATATGTATTATATATCCTATTTCCGTTTAGTTTTGTATTTTATATGCTATATATATAATAGTAACGATTGGGTCAACATTTTATTATTTTGTTCTATGTACATATGCCTGCTACTACAACATCCATAACATCAGCAAAGTCCGCCACTACCATGATACTGACACTTGTAAACTTCTGACGCACTGTCTTGTCACTTCCAAACTCGACTACTGTAATTCACTATATGCCAACCTCTCAAATAAATCCCTCCAGAAACTTCAAAGAATCCAAAATTCTGCTGCCAGATGTATCACCCACACTCATCGTCATGACCATATCACCCCACTACTACAGTCTCTACACTGGCTCCCCATCTCTGCAAGAATTACCTCCAAAATCCTCATTCTGACTCATGACTGCCTCTACAATGATAACTTTCCTGACTATCTCAAACATCTCATCTCTGTGTATGTACCTCAGGAAAGTCTCCGATCCTCCTCTGGCTCTCTCCTAACCCAACACAGATCTCCAAACTAACTGTCTGACCGAGCCTTCTCCTGTGCCAGCCCTAACTGTGGAACTGTCTTCCAAAGGAAATCAGGAACACTTCATCGAAAGAAACTTTTAAATCTCTGCTAAACACCTATCTATTAACTGCTTCCTTTCTGTAAAGTTATATGAAGTTTTTCCTTCACCAATATAGTCACAGCGCCACTGAGCATCTCTATGGTGGATATTAGGCTCTTTATAAATACATTATTAGGTCTTCAGACGAAAGTCTGGAAGACCTACTGTTATTATCCGAATATTCTTCTTCTTCTTATTATTATTATTATTTGTACGGATTTTGTACCTGCTCCCCTGAAGTAACCTCATGGCCGATTTTCATGAAACTTTCAGGGATGATAGCCTGTGGGCTGAAATTGATACAATGTTGAAAAAATCCTGATTTCCTGCTTCCGGTAAGGGCAGATAACCCAAAATGTCGAAATCTTTACACCTCATTATCTCTAAAACTATAAGAGATAAATGGACCAAATTTTCACTCAATGTAGACAACACCATTATCCAACGATTCAACACATAGCAAATGTTGGCCGGTAGGTCAAATTTTCCACAATTTTGACAAAACTGAAATTTTTGCCAATTTTCACGTTTTGATGGTGCCGGTGTTTGAAAATCTTCTTCTCCAGAAAGGCATATAGTACAATCGTGTTCGATATGCCGTTAGAAGGCCCATACTCTGGACACCTTAATTTGTTCAAGGCATGTTGATATCTTGAACTGTTTTGGAGTTACTGCCCTTGGAATTTGGTCAATTTTTCAAAGACGCATTTTCATAGTGTTAATATAAATGTCACAGCTCTGCGAAAAAGCAATGGATTTCATTTTTCAAGATATCAAACTGTAGATAATTGAATGGGAAACTTTTTGGCTTCACATTATGATTATGTAAAAAATCAGTAATTACGTCACAATTATGACACAAACACAAATTTTTCACATTTCCGCACGTTTTGATGGTGCCTGTGTTTAACAATCTTCTTCTCCAGAACGGCAATTTTTTTATCTGTAATATCATTTAAAGTTTGTAATTTACTAACCTTGAGTGATCAAGGATATATTCATCTATTTCACACAAAAATATCAAGCGTTTCCTACAAAAATAGCGTTGATGACATCGTATCGGCGAAACAGTGGCCACTCGTAACATCCGGGTATTTTGTATGGGTTTTCGACGATGAGCAATACTTTTTGCTCCGCACTGCGAGGGAGTGTTGTGATCACGTGGCTTCCTATTTATATATTGCCTGTCACCAGCAGACGACTGATCTAACTGAATTTTCGCTGGCTATTTTTTTTTTGTTATAATGGGAACTGATTTTGCTTTGTAAGTGGTATTAACGATCTCGGGTAAATGATATGTTTGTTTGCTTTTTATATAACTTTACTTCCCGATTTCCATTGTCAATAAAACTTCTCATGACAGCGACTTGGCACCCGCCCTACCAGTGAAACTGTTTGTGCACTCCGATCGCACACGTACTCCCCCGATATAGCGTGCAATGCAATCGTCGAAATCACCAGAACGTCGAATTCAGCTCGTGTTGGGATACAATAGTGTTCTATATATCGTTTTAAAGCCCACACTCCAGACTACTTAGTTTGTTCAAGGCATGTCAATATCTTGAATAGTGTCAGAGTTATTGCCCTTGGAAGTTGGTCAATTTTGGCAAAACGCATTTTTATAGGGTTCAGAGCTCTGCAAAAACACAATGGATTTCATTTTTCAAGGTAACAAACTGTAGATAATGAAAGGTGGAACATTTCTGCTTCACATTATTATTATGTAAAAGTCGATAATTATGCCACAAACAGGGAGGGACATTAGGATTTTCGCATAACTGAAGGAAGCGCCATAAAATCTAGCAACAATCACCACTTCCTGGTTTTCCAATGCCCAAAGAGCAATGCGCTTTAAGTAACTTCTGGGACTCCAGCAGTTTGTTTATCACCCTGACTGTGCCAGGATCGTGCAAACCCTTTCTGCTACATCATCATGATTGCAGGAATCCAGCACATAACTGCACAATATTTTATACATTTAAAACAGAATAAAACTTCACACACACACCCCGTGGGTTTCCAAATAGTTACCAATTGGCTACTCCTCAGCAGAGAAGATGTATATTTTCAAAATGTATGTTTTGTAGACTCCCTGCACCCATACAGTTTGCTGTGAGCCTTTATAACATATTTCTTTATACTATGACTTAATATCAGCCTGAACCGGTAAGTCAATTTTGTGATATTTCATGGAATGTTTTTGAATACTGCATTGCTTTGCATCAAAAGACAGCTTTATCAAGGCATGGAGGCCCCACCCTATCTGTGTATAGGTTTGAACGCTGGCCTTTAACCGCACCACAGTAATTTTTGAATGGTTGAGTTGAGTTGGGCTTTACGTCACATCGGCATTATTCCAGCCATATAGTGACGAGAACAAGTCTGCATTAATAGACATTGTAAGTACAGAGTCAAAATGAGTTTTATTTAAAAAACATCGATTCATTACGTTGTCATTTAAAAACAGAAAAAGTCATAGCACTAAATTTTAAAGCAGGCAATTTGTTAGTCACATTACACAGTTACAATTTATGATGCAGATAAACTTCCCTCAGGTTGTTCACGCGAGAGAACAGATATCTCCTATAAAGAGACTACCACTGCAAAGTATTTTGGAGGCTTTCTAGCCCTAAGGTACACTTCAAACACCTGTAACTCCAAGAGTTAAAATGGACGCTCAAGCTGGCGTTCAAAGAAACGGTACAAGTAAAGGCAGCCACGGGGAGTGTATGGGGAAGTCTGAAGACCGTCAGTATTGCCCAGGAGGCAATCCTAGTTATTATTATTATTATTATATGTGTGATGTTGAGGTGAGACTCAAATAAATTATCTGTCTGTCTATCTGTAAAGTTACTATCACATAAAGAGGGAAGGTTTGAGTATGTCTACTTCTCTGAGGTACACATTTTGGATTATATTCTTACTCCTTCTTTGGGTGAATAAAGGTTATGATGGTGGTGGTGGCCAACACTACTTCGTGTGATGGACATGGTAGTGAGCTGGATGGATAGTGGCACAGTCAAAGTCAATTCTGGTGTGGTGCTTGTTGAAGAGGATGTCAAGGGCTACTTAAATAAGGATGTTGAAGATGTCATGGGCGACCATGATATTAGCTTCTTTCAGTTAGCTAATGAACAAGTTTCAACAAGACAATTTGGACAGTTTAGTTCTGCTCCAAGCACAGCATGGTTAACAAAACAAAATATAACAAGAAGACAAAGTCATCAATATCCCCCGCAATGGCAAAATACTCTTTAGGATTATGTCTATGAGTTATGATTATTCAAATATTTAGGTGTGTATATAGAAAAGTGGAAGGAGAGTATTGAAAGGTTTTTAAAGTTTTGATCCAGAAAGGAGCACTATCACCTATTTCAGTCTATGTCAAACTTGTTGCCATGGAAATGCCAAAAATATTTTATTCAGAAATCCCAAACTAACAAAAGGCACCAGTACACCACCAGATCTATGTATGTGCCACGTTTGGTGAAGAAACATTGAACGGTTTGAGAGTTCTGATCCGGAAAAGTGCACTACCACTAATTTTGGTTTTAGTCAAACTTGTTGCCATGGAAACGCCAAAAATATTTTATTCAGAATTCCAAAACTACCAAAAGGCACCAGTACACCACCAAATCAATCTATGTGCCACGTTTGGTGAAGAAATAGTGAACGGTTTTAGAGTTCAGATCCGGAAAAGAGCACAACCACCAATTTTAGGCTAAGTTAAACTTGTTGCCATGGAAATGCCAAAAATATTTTATTCACAATTCCAAAACTACCAAAAGGCACCAGTTCACCACCAAATCAATCTATGTGCCAAGTTTGGTGAAGAAATAGTGAACGGTTTTAGAGTTCAGATCTGGAAAAGAGCACAACCACCAATTTTAGGCTAAGTTAAACTTGTTGCCATGGAAATACCAAAAATATTTTATTCAGAATTCCAAAAACTACCAAAAGACACCAGTACACCACCAGATCTATCTATGTGCCAGGTTTGGTAAAGAAATAGTGAACGGTTTTAGAGTCCAGCTCCGGAAAAGTGTACAACAACCAATTTCAGGCTAAGTCAAAACTTGTTGCCACGAAAACGCCAAAAATATTTTATTCAGAATTCCCAAACTACCAAAAGGCACCAGTACACCACCAGATCTATCTATGTGCTAAGTTTGGTGAAGAAATAGAGAACGGTTTTAGAGTTCTGCTCCGGAAAAGAAAAATGTGCACGGACGCACGCACGCACGGACGGAGTCCATTTTAATACCCCCCGCAAAACGCGTTGCGGGGGATAATGATGGCATCAAATCCTGAAAACATATTAAAGCAAACATGTATCCATAATTAAAACAACGTCTGACCTTTTTCATACTCTCAAAGTCCATTCGTATCCATGAGGCATGAGAGGGTGAGTAGCTTGCAATCAGTAGGCCAACATCTTCTTTGAAGCTTGTCTCAAACATATATGTCTGTTGTGGACTTTCTGTCTGGATTTGGTTCTTCAATTCTAAAGTAATGTAATTGTCATTGGGATCCATAGATACGGATTCAATATCTGAGAAGAAAAAGTCAGTTATGACAGATTTGTCTTTAGCTCTAACAAATTTGATGCCATCCATGTTCACAGCCAAAAGAGCATCACTGGTATGAGACCACAGTCCTCTGTGTACAATCGGAAATAGTGTACATCCATACAAAGGAAACTGTTTCACACATGTCAGATACCATACTTTTGCTGCAAGTTCTGTTTTTCCACTTCCAAAATGCTGCAATGAAAAAGGAGCCCAAATGCTTATGCAAAGTGGTAATGACAAAAGATGTTCACAAATTAAAACATAGTCATGTTTTTTCCACAAATAAAACCAGTGCCATGATCTCAATGCATTTTAACAAAGCTGATTTTGGATATTTTGGAGGAAGATGCATTCTGTAAAGATAAACTATACATGTATATGTACAATGCTCAAAATACACTATACTACAGTATCATTCAAACTGAGTTTTAACGTACGGCATCATATTACAATACTATAGACATGGTCAAAACAAGCAAGTAAATTCTGAGATATGGAGGTTGATAGTTGAGTGTATTTCTCTGCTGCACAAATATGATATAAATAATTAACTACATATAGACAAATACTGACTTTAAAAAAGATATATATGGCCACAGCAGCTGCCACATTGTTAACAAGGTCAAAATTTAATAACAGAATATATATATTGAGTATCACAACTAGCTACACATCAGATTTCAATACATTCTCTGGGAAAATGGCTCAGTGATAACCATAAAAAGATGTTATAATATGGCTGCATTGTATCAATGAATTACAATAGTATGATTGAAAGCATTTTTGCTTCTTGTTAGATGCCTGCAGTATAATGACAGCCTTGTAATGACTAAGTCCACACAAATTAAGGATTGATATAATTAGAAATGACCCACACAGACGAGGGGCAATCAACCAAGTCGCTGGGACAAGCAAAGTTGCCTGGAGGCAGATCTCTCTTGAAAAATAAATCTTCCAAATGTGACTAATGCCTGTGGTGATAAATGCTGTGAACTAATATCACTTATATGAAGATTAACTTATGCCCCTTTTCACTAAATCTGTTATAATAATGTGTGTGTATACTGGCAGTTACACATGCAATTGGTACATTTCCATATCTGTGAGACATCAACAGGCATATTTATGTTGAACAGCAGTCTGTGAGTTTATCATGATAACAATCATAAAAATAAATATCCAAAGTCTTCAAAAGGCAGTAGTTCTCCACTAGACTGATCTGCTTAAAAGTGCTATGCACTGTTGAAAGAATAGTTGGCACGACCGCCAGCATTCTCTTCCCACAGAGGTTACTCCTGTCATATCTTCCTACATAACCTCTGTTCTAATACGGCCATATTTCCCGGTCCTCGTAAAATCCCCTAGCAGCAAAAGATCGCAACACGAATTATCTCCCTTCTTTCTATCCAATCAGAACACGTGTTACATCGACTTAGATTCAATTTGACTAACACAAGCAAATGCGGGGCCACAAATATCCCCCATCTGCCGGGGAATTGTGTTGATGTTACACACAAGACGTTTAATGGCTAGCTTGTCCGTTGTCAACGAGGGCGATGGAGACGCCATTGATACGCCATTACATGACTGAGTTCTGTCTAGAAGAAACGTTTACGCATCGCGCTCGGGAAGAGGTTCTAGTTTTCCCGAAGCATACGGAAATTACCGAGGCCTTGCGAATGATCACTTTTGAAACAACGTCGCTGATTGCACAACTAAATCGGCTTGTCTCCAATCACGAGCCTTGAACGCTGACACCAAGAAAGGGTCGTATTAGAACAGAGGTTATGTAGGAAGATATGACAGGAGTAACCTCTGTGGGAAGAGAATGGACTGCCAGCAGAAACTAATAATTCATACCTTGTGTGCTCTTGAAACTTCCATCGACCAATTACGACCAGAAGAGGCAAGTATTCGACCGGTTAAGTACTGCTCAGCTTCACTGTATCTACAACAATAACCTTACAATAATTCTTCATTACAAATGACAATTGCAAGCAAGCACCAATAAGGACATACTGGATACAATAAAAATGTGTTTTAGAAAAACTCAGTCAAGTTGGAATTTCAATTGTTGAAATTGAAGATCAGAAAATGACAAATCCCCCCAGCCCCAACAAATTTGAAAGAACAAATCATCTGACAGTTACTTAAAGGGCCACTGATGCAGAGCAATTTCCGTGGACTGGTTGTTGCTTTTGTTATTGTTTTTCTCTAGTGAGTACCCGGATGATATGCCAGAATTCATGACTGGTTCGTTACCTCTGCTGCGCCACCACCATGCACAATTGATAGAAAACATATAGACTGATCAACAAAGATGAAATCTTTTTAACTCGATAATCTTGATGTTGTTGTAAAATTATGTAGACTGTGATGAATAATTTGGTTTCTTATAAACAAAATATTCAATTTGATAAAAATGCTGATTTTGATGTAAAATGTTGATTTCATAGTAATGTTGACTTTATAAAAATGTTAACGTAAATGGATGTAGAATTTGATTTAAGAAATAGTTTGACCTTGAATTTGGTTAGAAGCCTGATACAATAGCGTGGTTTTGAAAGTAAGAGTAACTAAGTACATGTACATGGGGAGTCTTGGGGAGAGTAGTGAGCTTGGGTTCACTACAAGTCAATCTTAATGTTGTATTAAATGGCATTATTTTGATAACAAATGAAAACATTTTAAGCTTAACCATATGCCAGTGGTAACAAATGTTAGGACTGAAATAACAAAGTCAATGTACGTCTTTATATTTTGTCTTATAATCCTAATTAGTTTATTATCATATTTGTATGCATTTTGACACTTTTTTTTCCTTTTTTTTTATTCATTCAAAATCAGTAGATACAAATATACAGAGTACATGATGCAAGAACACTTGTACAACGTAAAACAGAAATTCTTATTGGTTGGCATTACACATATTGGAATCTTCATTAAGCTGGGAATGTGTGCAGTAGAGATGACCATTTTCTGTCAAATTGTAATATGTTTTGATTCTTACTGGCAATAAACTTTTCAGTCTTGAAAATATCACTCAATATTTTTACAAATGTATCCAGTGATAACTTAATTTTTTTAATACTTGATATATGGATATATTTTTTACTGGCAAGATGTATGTGATTCATAAGGTCGTTATTATTTCCGACAATTAAGACTGTATATTTTGTCAGGGTAAAATTTTCTGATGATTTATCTTCAATATATTCTTTCAGTTTCAACCAAAAAGTTTTCACACACTCACATTCCCAATAAACATGTATCAAATTTTCTGACATTAAATTACAAAATGAGCAAAGTTCATCATCTACTAATTTCATTCTCAATAATTCTTTCTTTGTGTAGACAATATTGTGGATAAATTTAAACTGGAAGTCAATCAATTTAGTATCTTTTGTACATCTTCTATATTTTCTAAAAATATCTTGCCATGGAATTGCAATATCAAAGATATTTTGCCATTTTTCACATGTTGAAGGTGGGTTTTCAGTAGTTATAAGTTTATCATAGAAATATCTGTATCTCTTTGGTGCTGAAAGTAAATCTATCAGTGATGTGTTAAGATAATGATTATGAACAATCAATAAATTCTTTCTTATAGTATCTTTCCATTTTTTTTGTATATTTGAAAGAACCTGATAATAGTCAAGAATTGTGCCTTTAATTTTGTAAGTTTTCTTAAGTTCACTAAATGGCAAAATACCTTGATCATTTCACAAGTCTCTTATAGAGTGAATACCTTTGAAATGCCAATGTCTTATAATGAAATTACTATTTTGGAATTGGTGATTGAACCAAAGGGGTTGGGATAAGATTTGATCAATATCTGTAAAATCAGTTTGATGTGTTTTATAGAATATTCCCCATGCAGCCAATACATCTTTCCAATAGGGATTCATAATACTGACATAATTTTCAATATTGGCTCCAAGCAGAAATATATCTTTAAATGGAAAGATATCAGGGCTAGAACTGCTATTATTTTGAAGATATTTATGTAAAACTGACAGTTTTAAAGAGTTTATGAATACCTGTACATTAACCATTCTGAGTCCCCCCTCTTCATATTTTCTAATAAGTGTCGTTTGCTTTATCTTATCCCGCTTATCATTCCAGATGAATTTATAAAATATATTGTTTAATTTGTCAATGAATTCCTTTGGAGGATTTGGGAGTGAAGTGAATATATGCACCAACAATGAAAGTGCTAAAGTTTTAATAACAGTTATTTTCCCTATTAATGTCAACTTTCTTTTCCTCCAATTCCCTAGAGTTCTATTAATAATTTCTAGTCTTTTTCTTGTATTAATTACCCAAAGGTTATTTAAATTAGGATTAAGTCTTATTCCTAGAATATCAAAATCCCCATTATGCCAATCAAGCTTAAGATCCTGGCATAAAATCATGCTATTACCTGCCATTGAGCCTATCCACACTGCTTTCGTTTTATCTATATTTATTCTTAAACCAGACATTTTGTAGAAATTATTGAGAGTGTCAGTTGCTGCCCTTAAACTTTCTTCACGCACATCAAGAAATAATTCAGTATCATCTGCATACTGTGTCCCCTTGTCTACAGCCCCTTTCATTGTCAAAAAATTGTGATAAATGACCATTCTGTATAACACATGATGTAGCATTATTGATTAATATTTTGATCCATTTTTCCTTATTGGGTCCAAAGCCAAACTTTCCAATTGTTAAAATTATAAATTCTTTAGAGACAGTGTCAAAAGCTTTTTCAAAGTCAATAAGTAACAAGAGTCCCTTTTTATCTTGTACTTTTGCTTCAAACAGAATGTTGTATAATAATCTAATGTTCTCACTAATACACCTTCCAGGTATAAAACCTGTCTGAGTTTCGTGAATAAGAGTATTCAATGTTTTTTTAAATTCTATTGGCTATACATGTGCTGAGTATTTTATACAAAGAATTCAGTTGGAAATTGGGCACCAGTTTTTTAACAACTGTCTATTTTTGTTAGCTTTTGGAATACATGTGATGACGCCTCTGTTTATTGTTGGACTTAACATATTTTGCCTGAATGTTTCTGATATATATCTACAAACCCAAATATGAAGATCTTTCCAGAAAAATTAAAAAAATTCTATTGGGAAACCATCTGCTCCTGGGATTTTGTTATTTTTAATTGATTTAACGGCTCGTGTTATTTCATCTATAGTAATATCACCCTCAAGATTTTCAGCCTGTACAGTGTGCAGTTTGGGTGTAATAATATCATCAAATATATTAATATATTTATGTTATTTTACCACCTGATGAGTATAGATTTTCATAAAATTGTCTTTGTTCATTTAATATAGCCTTACCATCTGATATTACTTCCCCTTTGTCATTGATAACACTATTCATAAGCTTACTGGTATAATTTCTATTTTCCAGATGACAGAAATAGTTGTTTGGTTTTTCTCCTTCCTCATACCACTGAATTCTATTTCTTATCTGTATACCACTTATTTCATCTTCTTTAATTTTTCAAACTCTAATTTACATTTGGACAGTTCAGAAAGTTTAGTTTCACATATGGTTTGGAACTTTTCTCTGATTTCTTCTTCCATTGCCAAAATTTTTGCTTCTAAATTTTTGCTTTTTTCAATTTTGATTTGTTTAAAGTAGGAAGAGAATGATATTGTTTTCCCCCTTACTTTCATTAAAAATGTTTCTAAGAACAAAGTGTCGCTTATATTAAGTTGTAGTTTAGAATCTTCAATATCACCTAGTTCATCCTCAGTGCAGTTACAGTATTCTAATTTTGTTTCAAAAAGCATATCCTTGACTATATTTACATATTCTTGGTTATAAAGTAATGATGTATTTAGTTTCCAGTATCCTCCACCCTGTTCCTTATTAAGTTGATTAGAAAAAGACATGGTAATTGCTGAATGATCAGATTTATATCCTGGAAGTATTGAACAGTCAGTTGTCATGTGGCCGTATGCATATGTCGGTGTAAAATGTAGTCCGGGCGTAAGTAAAATGTGCGCCCGGACGTAACGTAAACCGGTATGCACATATTAGACGTAGTTAAAGTTACGCCAGTCATAGCGCTCTATATTTACGCCACCTACCCAGCAGGCGTAAGCCAGGCGTAGCCCTGTAGTGGAGGCACTGTATGCCAAGGGTTTTTTTCAGCCGCACATTTTAAAAAGGTTTGAAAAGTGAACGTAGTGCGAGAATTGCGCTCTTGTGGTCCTGGATCTGCGTACGGCTATACAAGTACACAGAAATGTAGAATATTTAATTTCCTATTCGTTGGTTGTTACGCGGTAAAAAACTGTCAATTTCTCAGCTTTTTGTCGTGCACCGATAAAAGCACTCTGCTACGATTTTTTTAATTTGGCATCTTTACAGAAAGTGTGAGTGAAGAAAATACAGCCTGATATCTGAACGACATAAGTGTATATGAATTGGGTTTATGTGCTAATGCATAACGTTTCACGCTCAACATTAAAAATGACTTGCAATAAGTGTCCAAAATGGATTTTCTTCTATGACGTCAACCGACGACAGAGAGGTCATACACGTATGAAGATAAGGGGGCATATAACTCCGCTATGTTTAATACTAGGTCAATGTAACTCAGATCACTTGGAGAAAAGTTGTTGTGGATACGGACGCTAAATTGTCGTTATGCTGTGTTCACGGTGAACCAACATATTCCATTACAAAGTTCCCCAATGTGAGCGGATCACAATGTTTCACAATCTATAAGAAAAGATTGCAATGAATTACTTGAGAAAGCAGAATAGCGATTTGGATGGCCCTATCCTAAGTTAGTTCTTAGATTCCCATATTCTCCTGTTTGTGTAGATGTAGTTTGACTAATTTTGCATCATTATAAACGGAGTACTAGCCATATCTTCAAATGTACTGAAATTACTGATAATAATACAACATTTTAGTTGACGTCATGACTT